TACGACTCCGCGCTTTCGCAACACAGCCACGCCAGCTATGCGCATCGCACCGCGGCCGCTCTCGATTTGATTTAAAGACGAGCTGCCGCTTTAACGCCCCGCGCGCCAACCGAGATTATCGCCCGCCGAACCAGATCGCACAGCGTAAAGATATCGTACGATTTCTCGCATGAAAAGATTACAGTCGTCGTTATTTGAACGAGTTCAAATGTCAAAGTGCAAAAAATTCAAAATCTTTCGCAGAATTCTGCTTTAAACGTTTACGGATTTTTAAGTCGCAATCAATCTAGAGGCAAAAAAAATTGGGAAATTATTTATATATTTTATTATATTATTTTATTTTATTTTATTAGTTATTATATTATTATTACTGCATAATTTTTATTAAAGTCCAATATGTATCATGTATAGTACCGAGAGAAAATAATATTCTTGATTAATTCTTTACATTTCCTATTCTTCTATTAAGAAATCAATAATATAAATTTTTCTTCAAATTCATATCCCTTTGACGGTTAATATATTCCATCTGGAAAATCACTCGGACAAAATTAGCATTCTCGATATATCTCCGAGATTAGATTTTCGTTAAGTAACAATTTCCGGTAAACATTCCGCCCATTCGAGAGCGTCCGAGAGATACAAAGCAGAGGAGCGATAATTCCTCCTTCTGTGTAAATAAGCGTACGGCGATGATGCGCGCAAGACGTGCGCGAATAATGAATTCGGTCGTTCTTTCTTAAAAGAGCTATCGCGAGATTCGTCGACGAGATGCACGATCGCCTCTTTCTCCTCTCTCGCGCTCCTTCCCCCGAAAATATCCCTCCGGACGAGAGCGGTATGGCCAAAGTCCAGAAAACCGAAACCAGAAATTCTCGCGCGGGCGGGTGGACGGTATTTCTGGACATGGGCGCGCGGGAGAATTCATGGCCGGAACGACTTTTCGTCACGCTGGAAAATTAGTTGAGAAACGCGGAGGTTTATCGCGTCGTAAACTGCGCGCGCGATGGCGAATCGTGCGCACCGATGCGCAACCATCCCTTTTCTATCATTTCTCGACGAAAGGTGAGAGAAAAAAAGCCGCACGCTCCTTCTAACCAAATTCGAAGCATGTTAATGATTTTTTTGATGAGCAATAAAAAAAAGCCAAGAGTAATAATCTGCACAATATCCGCGAAAAGTATAGAATCTATTAAAATGTATGGAATCGTGATGAAAAATAATACAAAATAATAAAAAATAATAAAAAATGTAGAAAGATGCAAAGAGATACAGTTCTGCGAAAGAAGACGAGAGGGAATCAACCGCATACTGTCGTAGCTGCGAGAAGCGAAAAAAAAAACAGAAAGAAAAAAGGAGAAAGGGAACCGTGAATAATACTAGCGTGAATGCACATCCACGCTGTACGCGATGGCATTAATGCGAGCGAGTCACGAATCATGATTATTTCGGATGGCTCCTCTCTCCTCTCTCCCTCGGGCTCCCTCTTTCCCTTCCCGCCGCTGCAGCTCGACCATCCTCGACGCGCAGGCTAAATATATCTTTTACAGACACCCACAGAAGACTATCGACAGAATCGCAGAGAGAGAAAGAGAGAATAAAACATCGGATTCCCGTTTAAAGTGTATCCAAGGTCATCGGGTGAGTATTTTCGTGGTCCAAATCGAGAATTTCGAAGACACGCGCTTCTTTCGAGGAGGTTGCACGTGGAATCAAGACGAATCGTCGCAACGTACCGTGACGATTGACGTAAATCGGCAAAACAGACCCCGTCCAAAATCGATCGCGAAGCGGCACGCGATTGGACGTTATAATCAGAGTCGAAAAATAATTAGCAGAAGCGCGACTTTGCTCGGCGATTCTGACCAAACTCGAAGACATAATAATAATACCGATAATATCGCGGTGATATCCGGACGCGATTTCGGATCCAAAGCATCCATTCGTCGCCAAAATAAATTTATCGCGGTTAACCGGATCCGTTGCTTGTTTGGCAACGCTTCGTTTCCGCTTCGCAAAGTAACGATCCTGAATATTCGTCTTTCCTTCGATTCAAAATATAATGACCGGTATTAAATAAAGCATCGAAATTTAATTCAGCTACGAATATTCAATATTATAATTTAATTGAGAACCTCATAATCTTTCTTCAAATTTTAACACAAACGGTCCGATTTTAATCTCGATCAAACCAACAGCGTAGATTTTGTATCGATACGCGGCTCGAGCTTTCTGCGATATTAAAAGAAGACCCCAAGGACGACTCGCGTCGAGCAGAGCGTGAACGAGCGAGAGAGAGAGATAGAGAGAGATAGATAGATAGATACGCACCGACTTTCCTCAATGTCATTATGCGCGTCGAACGCGAATTGTCGTTCTCGTTATCGCGCTCCTAACATCGCCGATAACGAGCGAACGTGTACGTATGACACTCGCAACGTCGGCATCGATCGTCGATGGAGCGAGATCCGCGCGCATCAAGAGACGCGTCGGTCGCGACGACGGTGACGCGAGAGGAAGAGGCCTCTCCTCGCTCGCTCGCTCGCCTCCGTCTCTGTCGGCTCGTTTGTTTCCGCTGGTCGCTTCGGCGCGGCTCGGCTCGGCGCGTAATCAAGTGGTATAAATAATTCCGACAGTGTGCAGCCATGAGCCGAGCGTCCGCGCGAGGCTTAATCCCCTGTTATGACATGCCAGAAAACGGGATGCGCGTAAACTGGAAACTGTCCCCTGCCATTTCGCCCGCAAATTTAACCCCTCGCCCCTAATTCGCGCGCCCAGATACCATTTTTCTCGATCGATCCAACTCGAAAATTCAATTCTGAAATTCGATTCCGATATTGGCGCGTCCAAGATACGTTTTAGTAAATTTTAAGAAATTTTAAGAAAATTTTCTTAAAATTTTAAGAAATTTTAAGAAAATATAAATGCTGATTTTGTAAAATATTAATAGTGCATGATTTTGGCTAAAATTGAATCATTAATATTTGAGAAATAATACGAGTGAAAATTCTTCTTTAGCGAACATTGTGTTATAGATTGGCCATTGTATAAATATATATAAGAGAGCTAGCTTTACATAGATAATAGCTATGAAACTAGAACTCAGCAAGCAACACTGAAAGCACAGTTACGTTAATATCGCTAGACTAATTTTGACTCGTCGGTGAAACGCGGAAGATAACGGAATGCGCCAAAGAGATTTTCACGTTGCGTCTTTACTCGGAATTCAATTAGCGTTCGCAAAGTTGCAACCTATAGCGGTAATTATACAACGCATAAAACATTATATATATATTATTAAAACACATTAAATAGCGATAAATAAAATTAAACATTTTACAACGATGTTCGTTTTAATTTTCGTTATCACGACCAGGCGCGCTTCGTTTCGACTTTAAACTCGTGCGTCAATATTTTCAAACGATCGCACGAACGCCCGTAACGTCGCGAAGGCCGTCGACGAGAAACAAACGGGCGAGGAAGCGACGACGACGGTTGCGGTCGCGGAAGGCCGTGGAAAATAGCGTAGAGGACGCGGAGGAACGGTACGGCACGTCGCCGATTCCGTCGACTAACGCCCCGGATCGCGAACCGGTCATTAGTGCAACGGAACCGGTGCATCGGAGGGACAGAGGGAGCGGAATGTCCGCGAGCCGCGCGCAATGGGATGCCCCTATTATCGGTCGTCCGACCGTTCGCCAGAATGCCGTTAGATGCACGGTCAATCTATTGTCCTCTACGTGAACGCACGCAGCTCTCCCCGGGGCGTTCCCGCGAGTGAGAGAGAGAGCAAGAAAGAGAGAGAGAGAGAGAAAAAGAGAGAGAGAGATTCTCGTGCTCGGCCGAGAACCAACGTCGTCAAGTTTAACCGGGCGACGAACGAAATTAGCTCTCTCTCGTTACACGAGGAAGACCCGCGGCCTCCTCGAGCTCGCTTTGTTTGTCTCGTACAATATTATTATCGAATTCGCGTTTAAACATCCGCCCGATCCCGTTAAATCGCGACTACCGATTTCTCAACGCGCGCCGATGTCGCTTTCCCGCTGCCTTTATTTTGATCAATGGAGAACCATATACTTGGTAAAATAGGTTTTTTTACAAAAAAATTTCAATTATCTCGAAACAATAAAAATCGGAAAATACAGGCGACAGAAATAAATCTGGCATTTATAGCGACGGGTGGGGAGTGAACGAGATTGAAAGAGCGAATCATTTTTATTCGCTTCGACTCTCTCGATCGCCGAGAAACGATCGATCTCGGAACTTTCTCCGATTCTCAGACTCGATTCAATTTTATTCGCTCCTCGCGAATTATGAATCAGATAGACGAGGCTTAATAAGAGCGATCGAGGATGATGCGTAAGCGAAAACATGACACTCGCTCGAGAGGCATAATTTCAAAGTGGCCATGTTACGACGATGAATAAAAACGCTCGTCGAAATAACAAACGTCTTTTCCTCTCTCTCTCTCTCGCCATTCAGCTGGAGGGAGGGGAACGGGATGGGGAGTCGCGCGCGGTGTTGCAATGAAAACTTACGGTACGGATGCACCTGTGTGTTATGCTCCGAGAGACACAAGGCGCGATTTCAATACGGACAGCGGGGGCCTCTCTCCGGGTACGGTACGTAATACAGTTACGACGGTCAGCAGTTTCCGGTTTCTTTGTATCTGCGAAAGAGGAAGACGGACGGGAAACGGAGCCGAGAGCGCGAAACATCGCGAATCTTCAACGCGTCTCCTTTTTTGCTTACCGCGATAACTAAATATTCGCTCTGGCCTAACATCAAAACGCAAATGTTCCGTCTGTACGTTCAAAAATAAACACTAAGCTGCAATCAACACTGATACGCACGATGCGAACCTTTGATTCGAGAGAAAGAGAGAGAGAGAGAGATATCCCTCGTAACTAAATATTTTCTTATTTACTTGGCGATATTCATATTCTCTACACAATCTAAAAATAAATTCCAATGTTTAAAAAACGGAGGCAAACACGTACCATCATTCCAGGTAGTCTAATGTGGTACGAACGACGTGGTAGAAGGAAGATTTCTTTTCATAGAGAGGCCACCCGGGCCTGAGGCCCTGGCTGAGGGGGGCCCACCATGCCCCTCCAGGTCCCGCGTTTCTTTCTGTCAACGCAGCAGATTCCGAGTTTTCTTCGAGACGATCGTCGAAACACTTTTTTTCCTGCTGATCGTAGGTATCAGCGAAACTTGAATGTCATCTTTCCCTCACTCGTTTACAACGACACGTATTCTTTCGAGTTGTCGCAACGTTCAATCTCCTCTTAAATGTTTCCCAATAATCGCAAGTGGACGTTAAGAAGTCAACGTTTGTTCGCCAGGGAAACGTACAAACACTCGCACAATACACTCCGAGTCTCGCTCGCGCGTTTGATTCGATTATACCGTTATCTCGATGGCATCGAATGAGAAGTAAACGCCACTCTGGAACCGCGGAAAAGGCGCGATAAACCGCACCCGAGAGCCTTTACTTAATTAAAGTCCGTGCACTCGTTGCCGCTGAATGTCACTCGAGCCTTTCGCACCTCGTTCGCCAAACGTATACAATGTCAATCGATCGTGATCCGTGAAACGTAATATAATGCCCATCTAACAATTTGACTAGCTATCATCGTAGATATACACTATCGACGTTACTTCCATGCGTGCGTCTTTCGGAGAATTCTTTCAGTCGCCCCGCTTATCGCTTCTTCGCTCCAAGTCACCGATCTTCTCTCTCACCGAAAGAACGCTAACGTTTCTTTCGATCTTGCGGGTCTGTGTATCGCTAGCTATTCCCTGACCCCTGCACTCGAGTTCTCTCCGGCGACTTGGCCAACAACGACAGATACGTATCGACGATAACACACCCGGCTCTGAAGAGCACTTGACGCGATGCGATTGTCTCGACGCCTCTGCGACACGAGTCTCTCTCACTTAATAATTTTCCGAAAAACAATTCGTCGCACAAAGAGTCTCTTCGTAAAAATGTAAATTTTCTGCAAAAGAGAAAGAACCGACGTTTGTCACTGTTTTCGAAGGATACCTTTCGCAAGAAGTCCCGACAAATTCACGCACGATTCTCGTCCTTCCAGTAACAACGTATCTGTCGGGAAGACGCGGTTCCCTATCGACGCTCGCGTTATCACCCTCGTATCGCGACGCGCTTTCGTTCCAGAAAACGATCCCTCGATAACGTGATCCTCTCGGTGTACGAGCGAGCGTGGGAACGGACGAGCGCAGGACGAAGGAAATCGCGACGAAGCGCGGCCGCGCGCTTCGATTTTCCCTCGTAAATCGTCAACAGGTGGTTTTCCGAACGACGACGCGGAATACGCGACGCGGATTCTCGGTTCTCGCGCGACGTCACGCGTGGGCTTCTCGCGCGCTCCGGCGAACAGCTGATCGCACGTCAACGTCAACGTTGCCCCGGCGGAGGGGAAAGTCGCCACGGTATCGCCACGAAACCGGAAAATGCTGACGCTTCGTATCCGTCTTGGTAAATTTTCTCTCTCTCTCTCTCTCTCTTTCTCTCTCACTTAATCACCGAGAGAATCGTCGTCGATTCCAATCACCGTTCGTCGCACAGCGCGAAACGCGACGGACTGTTATATCGGCCTCGCATTCTTGTTCGCCCTCCCCTCCTTCGTCGATGTTTCGTTCGTTCGTCGGTGTTCGCGCCTACCTTAGTCTCGCGAGACTATTTTCGTCTCGCGATGGAAGGAACGACGCGTTTAAGCACGCGTCGCTTCCCCCTCTATCGCGGGCCCCGCTCTTTTCCGTTTCCTGCCTTCTTCTCGCGCGCCTTCTTCTTTCCCGCCTTCCGTCGTCGCCCCAACGTGTCTGTTGTCCCGTTCGTGTTTTCCTCGCGCTCTTCGTTCATACGGCTCTCCTCGTCGCTGTCGTCCTCGTCGTCGTCGTCGTCGTCGTCGTCCTTCTCACCGTTGCCCCTTTGCTCGCTCGGTTTACAGTACAGAGATCGCGCGCGTCTCCCCCCTCGCAGCAGACGCACAGCAGAAGGAGGATGAGACGGAGGTAGGCGACCGGATTCTTTCATACGCAAACATCGGTTGACGACTGTCGTCGTGCGGCGTCTCGGCCCCTCGACGCCCAACGAGCGAGCGGAATACAGGAGCTACGCTTCCTCACGAAACGCGAGCACTCGACGGGGGATCGGCAGTCTATAATAATCCGTCGAGGAGCACTCGTGCACTCCGTCCACTCGCGAATCACGGCACTTTGTGCCGGGGCGAGAAAGTCGGGCTAACGTCCTCTACGGCTCCTAATCTTGCCGTCCTTGGGTCTCTCTTTCCTCTTTCTCTCGACTCTCTATCTCGGCGGGGACGATACACGTGCGAGGCCGCCGCGAGAAAAGGGGAAGAAGCTCCCTTCGCCGATGTTAGTTCGAGAGAGCAACTTGGCCAACGTTCGCAAACCGAAGCGCACTGACGAGGGAAGAGAGGAGTGCAAGGACCTTGGGTGCTCGCCCTGTCGAAGACCGCGAGCGATTGACTCTCGCGCGTCCCGGCCTCTTGGTGGCCGCGGCACGCGTGAAAGAGGAACACGGGAGGGGATTCCCGCGGGAGAGGGGGGAGGAGAGCGGCGACGAACACGGCGGTAGGGCCAGGAGGGCGCGCGCGAGAGAGAGAAACGGGAGAGCGGAACGGGGTGGGCGAGGCAAGGGAGAGAGAGAGAGAGAGGGAGGGAGAGGGGTGCGGGCGGCGGCGGTAGCGTGAGTGACGACGGGGGTGGCAGGGAGGAGGCGGTGAGTATGGCGCGTGCCACTACACGCTAGCAGGTGGAGTGCGCGTGCCCAGAAATCTCTATATCTCCCTCCCCTCCCCCTCTCTCCGCGCGCGTTTCCGTTTTCTTCCACCGCGCGATTCGCCGTTACTCTTTCTTCCCGTCTCTCACTCTCTCTCCCTCTCTCTCTCTTTTTCTCTCTCTTTCTCCCTTTTTTTCAGTCAATCTTGTCGTATCTTCGTTTCTAGTTACTCGCTCGCTACGTTTTTCGGCTTTTCTCCGGATTCGAAAAGACTCCGGTCTTCTTGCTCGTTCTCTGGTTGGATATTTCTCTTTTCGAGATTATCTCGAGATTGGCGCATCACCCCTCTTGTTTTAAAATTTCACTTTCATTATTTCTGGCTTTACGTTCCGTAGTTTCTCGCGCGTGTCATCCAAGCCTGTCATGTGAGAAAACTGTCAACAACGCTGCGATGGCCACGACGCGCCGGCATGATAATTCCAAGTCGATTCGCCCGATAGAGAAATCCGTGCATTTATAATATTTACGTTGCACAGTCAGGTTATTCTTGTAGCGTCGATAAGAGTTGCTAACGAAAGTTCCAGCGATAAGTACATGGTCGAGTTATTGCGACAATTTTTCAACATTCTAACATCGCCACGTTCGCGAATCTTGTCGCGTCGAATACTCCGCTATCCTTCACATTCTCTCGAGTGTTAAAAAAAAAAAATATGACGCACCTCGTCAGAGGTCTTTTTATCGATATACGTTACCTCGCGCTTCGGATTCGAGAACTGTCAGATTCTACCGGAAACGCGAGACGCCGGTAACCTTCGCTCGAGTTTCGTCGCGACAATCCATTCACCGAATATCACGCGTTATCTCGAGAGGATACGGATCGTCCACGACGATGATTCTCATCGAATATCCTCGCTTACGCAAATTTCGCTATCTCTTCCACGTGATTGCATTTGCCGGACGAGGGGTCTACGGATCTACGCGGGAGGTCGTCGAAAATTGTCGAGCCACGAAATTTACATCTCGCGTTACGCGCCTCGATCGGGGATCCCTCCCTCGCATTCGGCCGGTTACGCGCGTAGCTCGTCTCGTACGCGCTACGCACGTGGCGAGAGCAGGAGACGCGGAGCGACAACGGACCCCCCCTGATACGGAGAACCTGACGCCCCGAGAAGTCGTCAGCCACTGACTACGTGCGTCGCGACCGACCGTCGCGCCGGGAGGCCCAGGGCTACTCTCGAGCGCGGGGCGGGGGGGGAGGCACGCGAGACGCGTCGTCGGCTACGTTCGGTCGGGCTCGACTCGGCTCGTCCTCTCTCAGAGACCGATTCGAGGCACTTGGACACGGAGACTCCGCGCCGCGCCTCGTTCCGATCCGCAGCCGAGGCCGCCGGCTGTCTGTCCGATGTCACCCGACACTACGACTTCTAGAACGAACCTTATAGACTCCCCTCCCTCCTCCTCTGTCTCTCCTCCTCGCTTCAACTACCGTGGGTGTACCGTAACTGCGTACGACCGGTGTATATCGCTCCGATAGTACACGCTGCGAAACAGTCGGTGTACTAGGAACGATGTTTTAATCACTTAAGTTGCCCTTAATATCTCGCTTAGGCGCGATAATTTCCTCGTCGATTTCGAAGAGAAGCTTGTTCTTTAATAAACTAGGGACGACCGAGGCATCGAGTAAAAATAAAAAAAAAATGGTTACATCCTTTAGACTTTTTATACACTGAGAAAAATCGTTTGATTGTACCAACAAGACGTATATGATTGACATTTTGGTTAAATCAAACAAGAATTTCTAGTGTTATCATGATAAGATTTGATTTTTTATAACTAGAAATAATAGATTTAATAATAGATTTTACTATAAGGATTTGGTTAGTATTTTCTGGTTGGATCTATAAAATTTCTTGTTATATTAATTTCTTTGCTTGTTTCTTAACTTGACTCGTATTCAATATTTGCCATAAAATGTATATAAAGAACTAGTATTAACATTAAATTTAAAGTATATTTGTTTTCTCGAGCAGTGCCAGAAAGAGGACGCTAGCTCTCTGAGTGTGTGTTTGTGCTGCATCCTCTTCTTGCATCACTGTTTATCAGTTTAATTTCTAACAAACTGAATTTAAAATAATTTATTCAATAATTGAATTTATCCAATAATCTTGTTGAAATTCAGAATATTAAACAGATTTTTGAGATTAGATAGAAAAAATTTTAGACGACTTGCTGGCGAGTTTAGTATTATTAACCAGAAAATTTGGCAAATTTAACAGGAAGAAATTAATCAGATTCATCTGGTAATTCCTACAAGAATTCTGGTTCGTCCAGTTTCCAACAGACATACTGGTTGAATCTACCAGAATTCTAATTAATGCAACCAGATTTTTTTCTCAGTGTAGTAAAATTTATTTATTGTTTGTCAAAGGAATAATAATTTGGACAAAATTTGGAAAAATCGCGGTTATTTCGAAAGAATCTAAAAATAGATGCTCGCTCGATATTAATGAAATTTCTCGAGAGAAAGCTCCATGGCACAGTTGGGAAAAAGAAAAAGAAAAAAAAAAAAAAAGAAAAGAAAAGACGCGGAAAGCGACTGGTTGAATCTACCAGAATTCTAATTAATACAATCAGATTTTTTCTCAGTGTAGTAACATTTATTGTTTATCAAAGGAATAATCATTTGGACAAAATTTGGAAAAATCGCGGTTATTTCGAAAGAATCTAAAAATAGATGCTCGTTCGATATTAATGAAATTTCTCGAGAGAAAACTCCATGGCACAGTTGGGAAAAAGAAAAAAAAAGAAAAGAAAAGACGCGGAAAGCGACACGGTCGCTGTCGCGACTTAAAGGCCTGCCTCCCGCGCAGCTGACCGCGCCGGAGCCTTTACACAGGCGCGCTCGCGCGACACGTCGCCCGTATATACTTCCAACAAGCCTCCTCCACTCGGCCGTTGCGTCATCGCGCGGCTTCGCAGTACGTCGGGATTCGAGCGGGGGATCGCGCGGAAGCGGGCGCGCCGAGGACGACGCATCTGTACCGCTCTGCTTACACTTACTACAAATCCGTCCCAGTGGCGCTCATCCTACGCGACGACGCATCGCGAATTAGCCTCAGCGGCTCTCGCGTCACGATGGAGGAGAGACGACGCACGGAGAAACGAGAGATCGAACAAGTATATACGATGGTCGGAGAGATATCACATTCGAGATAAACTTGCGATTGCGCAACAAAACGCGCGTGATTAACCGCGATTACTTTGGCTGCGCGCGCGGCCGCTTTATGCTAATGTAACCGATAGAAAGGCGATTATTTGTCAATAGATAATTAAGCGACGAGGTGTACCGCAGGACGCGAGGCGCCGAATGACGGGGGGCGAGCAAATTGCGATGCGGATATTACTCGCGATTGCGAGTTGCCGTGGCGTACTCCGTAAATGAGAAGTAAAATTGCTGGATGGCATGCAAACGTCCCGCAGGAACGTGACGATAATACCACGCGGACAGCGGAGGACGTTGAGGCTTTTAATTAAAAGTCTTACGCGGCGCCATAAAGGCCGATCTCTCGCGGTAAGCGATGCCACCTACACGTCGTTGACCATTCTCTTTCTCGTTTAACTCGCCCAGTCAGTCTTTGCTTCCATTTCTCTTTTTTTATTTTCTCGGATTAAATCTGTAGGATTTATATTCGATAAAATTCCTCAAAATTTCCCACACAATTTTTCTCGGAATTACGTATAATTTTATGTAGTTTACATCTATCGGTCTAAAAATATAATATTTCACATGGCAATACATCATCCTCATCCTCTCGTTTTTCGTCCGCACGAAGGAACCGAAAATCGTGTCGTAGCGTTCGCGAAAAAATAGAGAACAGCGACGTAATGTAACCTCCGTAACGTAAGATGATCTCCCGAGATAACGAGTCGACATCGCATCGGCTTTCGTTGAATCTCGAGGTAACGCGCGCGCGCGCGAGTTTCTTTCTCGAGGAGGAATCTGCGACTCGGAGCACCGAGACGAAACCGCGATTATCTCCTACGTTGCTACAACACTCTGACGTCGGCTGAGTTTCTTCCTAAGTATTTCGCGCAACAGCGGTACGTGCCGGACGACAGCCGCCGAGTAAACGAGCCGCGTTATACGATCGAAGGTCGATTGTAAACATTTATGACGACGCTGCGCGGCTCCGGCTATCGATGTTTACGTTACAGATATACGAGCCGCGAACGGCTGAAGGCCAACTGTAAAAATACGACCCGATTCGCGGCTACAATAAAGATAAGCAAATGCGTATGCCAGGCTCGGGAAGCCGAAAATAATGTAGCAAGCGGAAAGACATTTCTTCGTTAAGGATCGTAGAAGCGTATAAAAGGCCAGTGTCGGGAAAAATAATGCTCGTATCGAGCGACGAATCGATTACGAGATCGATCAGCTGTTCGGGAATAATTCTTGATTAGTCGGATTAGAGAAAAAGTGCAGGAAAAAAATTCCCGCTCCCTCTCTCTCTCTCTCTTTTGTAATGTAATTTAATCTACTACATCCATCTCTGTTGCAGCGGCGGCGGTATATTTGTCTGTGTACAGAAAGTCAATGGAAACGTCAAAAACTTGATTAGATCACGTTCCTTCCTGTCCAACGGTAGAGAGCTCTCTCTTCGAAATCTGTCAGCGCGTTATCAAAAATTCGGCTCGAATTTTTGCCTCGGTCGTCGACGGGATAAAAACGTCCGCGGGATACAAATGTAATTTTCATAGCGAACGCAAGCTTCGCGTTACTTCCGGCCAGCTTACGCTCCATCGAACATGTTTTTTGAATCAAAGAGCTATCCTTTTTCCGAATCAACGAGACTCGGCTCGAGAATAACGAGCGAACAGAGAATCCTTTCTCCTGTATTTTTACGCATGTGGGACATTTTTCGCCGTGTTTCCATTTTACTTGCACGAAAAAAGAGGCGATGGTTTGATTGCGAGATCGATGCCATCTCCTTGATCTATGAAATCCACCCGCATCTTTTCCCTCTCCCTCTCTCTTGTCAAATTTCTCTCATTCAATTTACTCTGCATTGTGAATGCAATCTTGATTCAATGGACGATAATTTGACAAAAATCACAAAATACATTTAAATAATAAAGCGATGAATCAAACATTTTCTAAACATTAGATAAATAAAAAAATGGAATATAATTTCAATAATGAATAGAATTTTTGAAAAGCGCTCGAGAAAAAACATGTCTAGGGTTGTATAGATTATCGTAGAATTAAAAAAAAAACGATTATATATTTAATGGTGACTAAAAGTACATCGAGGATGCTGTGTTCCTCGCGTACGAAAGAGAAAGAAACTGATAAAGATTCTGAAGGAAAACGATGACGATGGAAGAAGTTATCTTGCGTCTTCTTTCACAAAGCTTACCATCTGTTCATCCTCAGAAACGGACGAAAGGAGCAACGACGTTTGCGCTTGATAATTCTTCGATCTGATATCACTAACGACATTTCTTTAACAACTCCGAAAATATCCAACCGCGATTTAGTCATATGACAAAATTTTGACTGCTTTCCCGCGAAAATGTCAGGATGAGATCAGATAAAATGTAGCTAAAGTAATCTATTCAATATTAAAAATTCAGTACCGAATAAAAATACAAAGAAATAATATCGCCGCTGGTGGAATTAACAGAATTGTTATTTTTCACGTGTATTATTGGATATTCAATATAATATGTAATCATGATTTAATTTATTTTCATCTCATGTATTAACGTGTTAAATAAAATGTCTAAAATTAGGTAAGTAATTCGATGCCTTTCCAACTCGATGAAATTGTGTATTTATTTTACGATTCATTTGATATATAAATAAATAAAGACTCTGTCGAATTGATTATCTCGAATATTGTTTATGTTATACGAAGAGAATCGCGCGACATTTCCGCAACGTGAGTATCGTTACGTGACGTTTAAGAAACTACGGGTTAAGTCGTTACCGCGCCTCATGTAATTTAATCACAGGAAACAATTCCAATTTTGCATGCATAACGTCACATATTGCGCACGACATATTGTAACGCGCACATCCGAGAGTGTCAGCGAGCGCGCGTGCAACACATTACATGTCTGCAAAAGATGCGATCTTTTATCATCTACCATCTTTAAAATATCGACTCTCGGGCGAGCGATCTATAT